CCTCTAAAAGCCATCTTCATTCCCTTCTCTTTTTATATACCTTTCATAATTCAGTCATCCCCTTGAACTCTTTTGTCGGTTGATATGTACTCAAAGGATATCATTTACCGCGGAGTAATTTGACAGGCACTCGCAAATTATTATTTTTTCCTGAAACTCTTCTCTCCAATATAAGTGCTCTACCTTCTTGGGGTTGGACTGTAGTAACGAAGGTAAAACGATAAGGTAAAATGTATCCTGTGGCCCATAAGCCATCTTATTATACGAGTCTTTTACTTTCCGTTACTTTCCTTTTTTTCAATTTATTGTCATTGACGAAGTATGGTACACTCGCCGAGGACTTTCGATTGCCAGCTCTCTTACAGAAGGAAAAAGCCCTGACTGTTGATAATTTGATGCACGTTTTCTCGTGACAATTCATTTAATAAACAATCCTTATAAATTAAAATTCATCACCTTCGATAAATTTTCCTTTCATGACAGGTGGTGATGTGGCGGAACAAATTTATCTCCCGTAAGTCAATAGTCATTAAAAGATGAAAAAACATATACAGAACGGCGATATCAAGACGCAAAAGGTAAGAAATGATGTTTTTAGCGTCCCATAGACACCCATAACAGAAAATGTACTTTAAAGGTTCGATAAAAAAACCTAAAATAACAACACAAATGCTTGGTATTTCTGGGAAGTGATATTCTTGTTACAGCTGTATTTTGTTGAGTCATGACAGTTTATAACTTTTTTTTTCGTTCATTGTTATGTTTGATTCAATTTGTGATTCTCAGTAACGACTGTATACATTCGGTCTTGCCATAAATTTAGTACAGACGAGCAAATTCAAATATGTACATGGTTCAAGACTTCTTTTGCAAAGTTTAGTGGTACATGCGAACGTTTTTTGCCGTTCCTCGCTAATTCCATTTATCGTATGCAAAGACAAGCAAAATAAAAGAGAGTCATTGTGTTAAGCATTTGCCTACACTCCAGTTTACTGACTGAACGAACATTTACAAGCAAATCATTCTTCTTAACGACAGCATATTTTTCGGATTCAACGTATTCTACTTATTGCACTTTGTATGCCTTAAAAACGACCTAATAGCGGGTGAGTGTCTAAAAAACTCTGGTGCTGCGTGTGAGGGGGGAGGGGAGGGGGGTGGAAAGTATTATTAGATAATTTGGTTTATCCCCTGAATTTATAATGTAAGTTACATTAGCCAATTTACATTATCAACTCAGTTGATAAACCCAAAATGTTTTAGAGTACAGTGGCTTTGCGAGACCCACCATGCACGAGAATACTTATATATATATTTGAGATATGCAAAGAATCCTATCTAAACAGAGTCATTTTTCATTCATGGGATAATATGTATACAGGCTACTCTATTTCAGGCTGTCACGCCGTATAAGAGCGAACACAGCCAGGACGGAACAGCTGTTCATTTTCCATTTCGAACTTACATTGTCGTTGTTCCAGAAATTTTCCATTGTAGTTAGCCCTTGAATTGTTGTTCCTTTATGTTCACGAGTGTGTTTCCACTAAAAGTCACTTTATTGCGCACTGCGCGATGTAAAGTCCACACCAGCTTCTCCTTGCTTTCCTAAAATTTTTCGTATTGTGTTTCTGAACTCCCTCAGTCTTATAGCGTATACAATAGGATTTACTATGGAACTGGTGAAATATATCACATCTATTGCATAGCCAACGTGTTTGTAACGATCTGAAGCTAGCTTTGTTTGTATGTTGATTGGCAGAAACTTGTAAAGGGTAACAGGCATCATAGCGAGAACAGAAACTCCAATGACAATGAACAATGTCACAGTTAGTTTTTTTTCTTTGGCTGATGTTCCACGATGCTGGGATTGAGGGCTCTTTTGGACACTGATCGTAACAATGCTGTATGATACTGTGAGGACAAGGGTATTGAACAGCGTGAATGAAGCCAATAAGTAGGCGAACTCTGCGGCATAAGAGCCTTCAAATAACAAATGGGCTACCACAAAGCCCATCACTGAGGAAATAATCCAGCTGCCTGTTATGATTCTACAATAAAACCATCTTCCAAGTAAGCAATGCCTGAAAGGAAAAACTGTTGCGTGCAGGCGCTCCAGGCAAATGAGCGAAAGATTAGATTGGGCAGCAATCGGAAATGTGACTAAGGCAGCAAATGTGATGTAATTTCGCCATATAACACTTTCTTCAGTCGTGTTGAGCAAGAACGCAGGGCCAGTAAGACAACCCACCAATAGATCGGCCACGGTCAGGTTCATCACTAGATATGTGCTGCGATTGCGTAGACGGTGGTTTCTAGCAAAGGCCATCAGGGTGAGCACGTTGATTATCACTATCACAAGAAATTCCGTAGTAAAGATTGGTAGCCAGATTGGGCTCTTGATCACAGCAGACATTTCTTAGCACGGTTGAAGTGACTTCATCGATCTCCTACTTTCTAATCTTCATGGGCTGAAAATATGAAACACATGCACTTATTTTGAGGAATCAAACAAAGACATGAAAAACCGCAAACGGATGCGCCGACAATTTCGCTGCATACTTATACTCTATTCTCCTTATTAACTCGGTAGTATTAATGTTGACTCCCTACCACCAGTTCTCGCGTGACAGATCTTAAATTCATGATATGTAAAATATTTGTACAATTATTTGTATGTCAAGGGTCGTAGACAATCTGGTTTTAATGGCCATGATCGTCATGCGTCCGTGTGACAAAAATTCACGCCGGGGGTCACGTAGGTTGCGCACGGTTATTTCGTTGGAGACAGATTTTTCAATCAAACAGTTTTAGTCATCGAAAAAAATCGTAAAAACGTTTACCCTTCCCTAGTGGAGAGTGCCCAACACCTCATAAACGTTTACTTGTATCGCGAAAGGAAAAATAATTTAATCGTGGTGAATGAAATAGTTATGAAGAGATTGCATGTGCAATCTGCTGCTTCGCGCCACTTACACCTTAATGGAAAAATGCATTTTTTGTGTGTGTTGAACAGAAACAAAAAAAGTTATAAAATTAAAACATCTCGTTAAACATTTTACGTAGAAGCCTCTCGCAGTATAAAGTTCTCTGTAACTCAGGCTAAGAGGAAGGGGTTTGATTCTGCTTGAAGACGCCGAATTTTTCTTTTTCTCGTCGTGAAAAGACGCAGGACATAATTAATAGACCATTAAGAATTGACCTGATTATCACACTTCATCGTTAGCTTACTAATAGGCACCTTAGAATGAACTTCCAATCTCCAATAAGAGTCGTATTTTTCGATGAACTTTCTTGTGTTAGTTTTCAGGTGCAGACACACAATAAATATGGAAAAAAATATGTTTTGACGGAAACATATTCGCTAAGAACGTTATGAAAGGGTCGAATAAATATTGCCAACCCTTTGTGTATAAACTCCGTTTTTTGATGAATTTCCTAGCCCCTCCGAAAGGAATATATATATTTCTTTCAATTGCCTAAGGTTAGCTTAAGGGTAACAGGATCAGGTCCACGTGCAAAGATTTCACATGATGTTTAAAATTTGAATTTTATTTTAGAGCTATTTCAATAAACCGTTTATGTATGTGCAATGTAACAAACGATTTCTCGAGAAAAACAAATGCTAATTTTTTTATATGCAAATGATTTTCTTCCTAAAGGGTAAAAATAATCGAATTTTTTGAAAACGTGTAAAATATCGAGACAACGTAGTAACAACGCATCCGTAAAGGATCGAATTAAAAACTATTATGGTGCCAATTTTCGGTCCCAAAACAACGATAACAGAATGAAAAACTTATAAAAATAAGCTCACCTTACTTATCTGCGCTGATGGTAAGAGTTGTGATTTCATCGGTTGGTTTCGTTTCAGATGGCTGTCTTCACCATTGGCTTCTCAAACAAATTATCTTTTCGACAGAGCAGTAAAAATCTCCGTGCAATTTTACTCTTTATTCAGCTGTGGGGGAAAAAAAAAGGATTTTTAAACTTGAGTAAATTCATGGACCCGCTGATATCTGTGGACGGTTTTTAAGCGCGTGCTAAATTTTAATTTCGATCGATCACCCCAGGAAAATTCCGGAGGGCTTAATCAAAACGTATTTGATTTACGTGGATGATCCACCTGAGAATGAATAGAAGTTAAGTGTCGATATCAAGCGACCTTTGTCTTGGTTCATTTAAAGTTAAAAAAATGAAACTTTGTTTGGAACCACTGGTCACTATTAATGCACTCTTCTACTTAAAAAATAGGTAACGCTCGCTCTATATAAACAGGATTCTACACTCATACTTTTCGAACGAAATTCGCCTGGTCAGAATTCAAAGAAATTTTCCACAGTTCCCCTCTTTGAATTGCAGATTAGTTCTCTGTTTGGTTTTCTTTAGATTACCCATCAAAGACGCTAACGATATAGAGTGCTACTGTAATGCTATTGTTTTCCTTCGAAATCAGGCTTTTTTTTCTCGTCTTCACGACAGGAGGTGTTTCATAAGTATTCCATTGTGTGACAGATTTGTAAGATAAAAAATCCCCCAATCATGCCTCAAAAAGCTCCCCTCAAAAAATAATGAAGAATTTGCGAATTCTAGCGAAACTAAACAGAATGTCTTTGAATCACATTTTACAGATTTCAGTCCTATACTAGAAAATTCCTCGTAGTGTGCGTAAATGCAAAAGGGCTGGCTAATTACGAGATTGTGGAACTAAACAGGTCTACAGAAAGAAACCCAATAACAATACGTAGTATTTTTGACTCGCTTTGAGCGCTTACTGAATGCTGACCGACACTGTGCAGTTTTAATACAGAAATTGAATTTCGAACCCAGTTAATTACATGGAATGACAGCTGGTTGTGTACTGCCTACGACTCGTTTCTTCTTTTAAAGTAACACTAAGAATAAGCAGATTTCTTTTACTTTAAATTCCGGTGAACAATATCGTCTCTATAGATACTTAGTTTGTGGCGATTCCTTGAAAACAACGCGGGACAATTTTTTTACCGAAAGATACCTGCACCGCTATTGTGAAGCCTCAAGTCTTAATGTGTTTCACATGACATATTGCTATCTAATGTATGCTTATTACTCTTAATATTTTTAACGTTTAAGAAAGCTGAAGTTTTTCGTTTTAAATTACGAATGCATCTTTACTTTTCTATAAAGCCAAACCAAAAGTTTCTTCAAGCCACCGCAGTAATTTGAATTAATTTTACGTCTACAGAACAAAACAGGTCGATGAAGATCCAATTCAAAAGCTTTAAAAAATTAATGTAAACTGTCGGAAATTTAGAGAAGTGTTAAAAATATCTCAATGTTGAAACCTACACATATAGAAAAAATTTTTGCCAAGTCCTCTTCATTTATAACATAAATTGTTATTCAAGGGGGATATGACATAACTTCTCATAGACTTATATCCATTGAGGTAACCACCTTTATGTCTTCCATTTTGTTGATTTTACTGGAGGTACTCACAAGCTTATTCATAATGTAACATTGATCAGTTGACGACTCTGGTGAACTGTTTTTCAAATCTATGACATCGTTTATTTTTCGATCTTAATGCGTTTGCTCTTTTTCCTTTTTTTTCCCTTTTCTTTTCTCTCGAGCTTCTTCCGTAAGAAACAAGCTTTACTCACCTCAGTTCGCCCGAACCCGGTGCACCATCTCTAGAATTGAATCTGCCATTTCTTGCTGTGAAATTCTTTTCTTTGTCAATTCGCCTTTGTTTTAGATGATTGATAACACTCACCTTCTTTTATAGCAGATTTAATTAAGATTGGAATAAAAAGGTCATAAATTTCCATTCTTGGTCAATTTGGCGATTATGATCGCCCTTTGATTGCTTTTCAATAAAAATCGTATATAGATTTTACTAACTCGCTTCCCGGGCGTTTTACCAATTCGTTGACAATCTCGGACAAACGCTTTTGAAGAGGCGACGGCCCTCTTCGAACGAACACCCTTGTTTTCAGCAATTGATCAATTCGTGCCGAAAAAAAGTGAAGAGCAGAGGAAGGGGAAGAAGTAAATTCCAAATACTGAGAGTTGGGTCGGGGAACCGAAATATTCCAAACCCATTGATCGGAACGATATTACTCACAACCAAAAACAAAGAACTACTTAAAAGGCGTGAAAGACCAAATATATAGTGCAGAGAAATTAACATAAGGCCCGAAAAGGATATTTACGAAACTGGAATAAAAGAAATTAAAAAAAAAAAAGAATGCGCTTTAACGAACTGGTGCGGAGTGCATTAAAGGAAAATGAAGGAATTTGCAATTCGCCGCAGCAAGTCGTTTGACGATAAAACCCACTTGAGGTGAGGCACAGAAGTCGTTCCTCCAGCAAAAAATATAATTTGGCCTTTTTCACTGATGACAGGGACGTCTCATCGTTCCGAAAGGAACCGGAAAATAATCATTTCTCCGAATGGCATTAGCTTGAGGGTTTCCTTATGAAAACTCAAAAGCTTCATTTACACAGATCTACCGGTTATTTGTTTTTGGTTCACCACACTTTATAATCTGAGGTCTTTCTTTCACGATCTGTTTCATATGGGTTCTTATCTGATGCCTCTGTTTCTTATTAATCAATTTTTTTTTCAGCGATTGAGAAACGGGTATTTCATATGTCAGATCAAATTGGAAATAAGTTATTATATTAGGCTAAAACCGGTTTTTTTCTGGCTCAGCTGCAAATATATACTGACGACAGTGAGTTTAAATCCCTGAAATATTCTTTCTCTTAGAGATTGTTCGTTTTACAAATTGATCATATCTCATTTCCGAGAACAGACATCGCACGTCCTTCAAAACAAGTGTTTTTTGTTCATTTGTATCCGCTCATGTTCAGTCGCGATTATTATTTCAAAAGAATGAGTCCTTAGTGCCAGTAGACCTACTGTTTATAAGATAATATATTTTAGATTGTTATTTCCTTGAATTTATCCACCTTTTTACTAAACCTTGATGTCTGATGCATATTAGGCATTTCTTGCTGGTAAATTAAGTTCTTTGCTTTTCCGCCCAGTGGTTACCGGACGAAATTCAATTTATGGGGATCAAGTTTCGTTTAAAACATGGTTTAGATGAAGGAAAGTAAAAAGATCATAAACGTCAATTCTTTTAAATCGAAACTAGCATTCTTATGACTCTTTTGGTGGGCGATTTTTTCTTCTCGACAGCTAAATATACTCTGAGTGTTTAGCCAACTTTGCGGTGACAACATATCGAAATAACCTGTTTTCTAGGGTGACAAATTAGTTTTAGAATTACATTTTGACGAAAAAAATACATTTATCATTTTATGAAGAAGACCAAACGTTTTTCTTCTCCCTTTTTGAGGGGAATTTTGGGAATCCGAAAGATCACGTTCCATAAAAATGATAATGAAGGACCTCAGTGGGAGGGAGCACGCCGACGATTGACATATGTCAAATATACAGATTGTTCGAAATTGTTTCAACCTCTGTTCTTTCCATAAGCTTGCAAACCGGAGGAAATTTAGCAAAAGCAGAATATCAGATTCGACGAAAGAAAACGCCGGTACATCCATAGAAACTGACTTTCTTGAGAGGTTTCGTACCAGATCTCCAAAAAATCATTATAAAAAGTTTCGAAGAATCGTCCACCTGCGAAACATGTAATGCAAATACCTTTATGCTGACAATTCAGTCTGAGCGTTTAAACATGTCTGTTTGCTATGCAAGCCACCGCAACCTATAAGATTGTGTCAAGGAAAGGCGACTCTAGGTCTTTATTAAGTCATCCATATTTATGGTCTGACTAAGAAAAACATATTTCTTTAAATATATGCGACGAATATTTAGTATGTTTGAATGAATGTGCATCAAGTGGAACGGATGAGAATATATTGGTCAAGCATCGTTTAAGGTCTCTATTTCAGTAACTCTTTTTGACACTTCGATTGCCATAATTGAAAAAGATCCAAAACATAAATTCTTGCTTTGACTATCACTATATTAATTTTTTTTGCACTTGTTTCGGACTCGTCATACACGTTTTAATTTCCACTGACGCCTATGTGTCTCATTCAGCACAAGCTGGACGTCAGGTTTCCGTCGGATTTCACGTTTTTCGCTCGATTGTTTAAAGAAGTTTGAATACCGCATGGCATTCAACTAATTTTCAATTATTCTTGACGGTATAATTTATATAAGAAAACATCAAAACATCGACTGTAACTGTTAGTATCTAGTTATAATTAAGCCAACCTCTCATGCTCGACAAGTTTCTTCGGAATAGAACAAAGTGGTGCAGTTATAGTGGCTTGTGTTTTAGTCAGTTCCAATTTAGTGAAAATATATAGTTAGGATTAAGAAAGAGTGTATGACTGTCACTTTCATGAAAAACATAGGCATCCAAAAGTCGTCCTGTCGTCGTATAGCCTACTCCATTTATATTCCATGATTCTGGCTAGTTTTAAAAAGATTAGAGTTTCCTTTTGCCCTTCAAGCCACCTGGAGCCACAGGAATACGTTTGGACTTGTCATTAGATGGCAAAGAAGACGATAACCTTAAATTCCCTGTCGATTCAAAACTTTACGTGTTCAAATTATTTTGTTGTTGGTCCATCACGCTATCCACCTTTCAGTTTAATCGTCTTTTGAACTCCCCTACTTTAGTAATTATAGTATAAACTTTTACTCTATCAACGGCTTACCTTAAACATCAGCATCGTCAATTTCACCATATTTCGTGTTGTTCTCTCGGCTATGAATTCCAGATGGCATTCAAGTGATTTTCTTTTGGTCGATCGCTCTTGGCAGAAAAGTTGTTTTAGTTCAAACTGAGATAAGAAATTCAATACGCTAAAAACTCGCAGTTTCATGCCTGCCGCCTAAAACGCCATTGACGACTTTAGAAGTTCCTTTATTCTAAATGCATTGATAGTTGATCTCTCTTTAGAAAGTGACATGCATCTAATACATTTACGTTTAAATTAATGCATAATATTGCAAACAACGTGATGTGAGTAAAATTAATTATCTTTTAACTTCAGCTGTTTTCCGGCCAATTTGATATATAAAAAAAACATGCAAGGAAAAAGAAATAAAAATTGATCTTTCGGGTTAACATAGTTTTTACAGAGGAAGCTGTGCAGTACCCTGCTGTACAAGGGTAGGAAGCTATTTTTTTTTTTTAATTGATCACGGTTTGAATTGTACAATGTTAACGTTCATTGTGTTAAGATTAATGGTTATGGGAGTAAACTAAGAAATTATTTCTCCGGAAGTTTCTCTAAATCGCCTCTTTAGATTATTTAAATATCGTTAACAGATTGGATCCAGCAGAATGCAACTAAAAGTTATGATTCTTGCTTTTTAAATGCTGTTTTATATACCATAGTGTCTAGTAAAAAATGTTTTTTTTAAGTGATTTGGAGGTTTTTTCAATATATATAGAAGTTGTGTGTCAACAACTTTTACTGCTTTTTAAGCAATCAGGGCTTGGAAAAATCGAAAAATTATTCCATAGAGCTATAAAATTGGTCATAACTCAAGGCTAACACGCCCAGCATACAGCATCTTGAAGGCGACTTAATTTCCTTTGGCAAGTTCGATAGATTTCGAGCAGGATAGTTCATGTTATTCTCGAAAATATTGTAAGTCACTCGCCTCCAGCTCGTGATTTACAAACTTTTCTCGTGTTTTCCCAGCATCTCAAGTAAGCTATTACGCTAGTAAAACGATAGAAAGTGCGGTCTATTGAATAATTTGTACACCTTTTTTAGTGCTTGATACACAAGAACGATATTTATAATAAAGCACGGATATAACACGTACTGTCATTGGTTGAAAGAGCGTGCTCTATGAGAGTATAGAGCATAGAACTGAGCTAAAGCTGTCACGCCATCTGCCAAATCGTACTATGTCCGACCTTTTCCGCGACCTCTTTCTAGCTTTTCTTTCGTTAATAAAAGTGAAATTTCGGAACAAGCGAGCAAAGGTTTGCAAAAATGCCAGGCGCAGTAATTTACGTTATTGTAACGTGAGCAGAGACAAAAATCCTCAAAGATAAAACAAGATAGACAGTCCGAGTTTTTTAACGGTTTTCACGCTCAGTTAGATTGCGAGTTTACGTACGGTAATAAAAATCAAACACAGCTAACTCTTGTATAGTATATAAAGTTTCGATTTCAAATAGAAAAAACCAGGAATTATGAAAAATATAACCTGGCATAACTGTTAAAATTCATATTAATCATGATGGTGTCAGAGCGACTTAAGGTCTATCGCGGCTAGCTAATCATGGCGATCTTCGGTCATCGCAGTGGAGCAAGCCTCAGGAACTAAATCGACTACCCTTCGAGTGAAAAAATAAGAGCTTGCCCTGATTACCTTTCCGATGCGTTGAGTGGAAGGCCAGATCAGTCACTGCAACCGAGTTTTACGGCGCTGTCATTCCGAGCGATCTTTTTGTCTTAGTGAATTCGGCTGTTGTTCATTCATAATACACTCGCCTTGAACAGTTTGTTTTCTACTTGTCATGTGAAATAACTTGCATATTTTTGTGAGCTACGATTGGGCCGAATTTCACTGAACATTTCACTTTCAGATCCTGTATTAGAAACTAAAATACTTCAGGCAAAAGTGTTAAATTCGACATACCGAGCTATTTTAGTTTGTAAACTATTGCAGAATATGAACTTTGATGGTTTTTGAACTTTGATGGTTTGACATTTTTGAGAGCTTTAGTCTTGTACAGCCAATTAAATTGTGTAAATTACACCGAGGATCATCAAACCTTCAAAAAATTTTCTTTAGACATTTGATGGTTGTTTTGGGCAGAACCTGCCGCAATTGCTGATTAAAAACTGTGTAAATAGAATTACGTGTGTGTTTTTGTAACATTTTATCTTTTGACGTGACAGAAAATAGGTTTGTCAACAGTGGCGTTTTTAACTTTATTTTATAACTCTGGCTATATGGAATACGATATTTCGACTAGCTCTATTAAAACAAATCGACGAAACGTTTTGTTCCACATCAAAATATGGCTACATCATTAAACGAACGATACCTTTTCAATACTACGTTT